GACTCAATGAGTTCGACCTGGAGAGTTTTTGAGTTACGGTTCATTTGGGTCGTTCAATCAATGGCAGGGTTGTTGTTAATCACAATCAAAAATTGAATTGACGAAATTACAAAAAAAACATTGTCCTGAAAATGGTTGCCCATAAATCACCATCACTTCCGCAACTCTACAAGATTCTGATTACTAAATCACTATCACAATTAATTTTTGCAGATTTTTCTCCTGATCACAATCACTATATATGTCAAAGGCAGTTCTTTCAAATCTGCCATTACATTCATTGTAATAATTTTATTCTTTTAAAAATAGACCCTGAAAATTCACGCCTGTGAGTGGGTATAAATAAAAGAAACGAAAGGATCTCAGGTAAACCATACTTTTACATGATATTGAAAAAATATTTTCGCATTTACATCAAATTCTAACGAGACTAAAACAGAAAGAATATCCCTGAATGCGGGAGGAAAGAATAATTTACAAATGTGAAATATGGAAAATGGCTAAGATTATTCCATTATAAATGCCAAAGCGCTTTTCATTCAAGCGTAATTATCATTTTTAAAATTGCTGTAATAAATTTTCTTTTGTGCCAACCAGTCTGCAGCACCTACCAGAATATGCTAAAATCAAATTGGAAGTATTTTAATTGGCACATCAAATTTTCTTCTATATACTTTATTTTACGAATGCATATTCCATTCATTTTGAAAATCCGTTGACAAACTTTACAGTTCTTCACGATTTTTAGACGCGTTAAATTGTTTTCTGTTCACTTATTGGCAAGAAAAAATATTACGGTATATTATAATGTACGGATGTAAAAACTGATTCTTGATGGACTGTCGGCATCCCTTTTTTTTTCTTTCGGCTAACTTCAAATTTCTACATGAATTTTGTATGTGCAGAATCAATTTTGCCATTTTTTTCCAGGAGTATGCATCAATTTAAAAATTCGCTTAGGTTCCGTGAATCATTTCCGAGACGCGCCTTGGGATATTTCTAGATACATCTGTTCATCGGAGTTTCCTTGGATTTTTGATCCCACGGGTTTCCCATCATTGTTATCTATTTTGTGTGCGTTTCTATTTTTTTTTTTTTTGCAGGATGATGACAAGAAGAACGATTCTAAATTGTCTCAAGACCGCTTCAGTGACCTGGTCCTCGACTTTTTATGCTCGCACGACCCAGCTTCTCCAGGTCGCTACATTTGCGGTCCTTACGACTCCATGACCTTGGGCGACCTGGAAGAGAAGTGCAAGCACCTCTCTGCAAAATGAAGATCCGGAAGACAAATAAATGAGGCAAAGGAGAATAGGAGGGAGGGAGAAAAAAAAAGAAAGACCCTCATGAAAAAAAGAAAGAACAAAAGAAATTTTTTCCAACCCTCCTGGGAAGAAAAAATAAAATAAAAACTATATATAAAAAGGGAGACGCGAAACGGAAGTCCTTCAGTTTCGTCCCAATTTTTTTCCCTGGGGGGTAAAAAAACAAACAAACATCATCCTTCCTTTTTTTCTGCACTCATATTTCTTCTCGTCAGCTTTTCTCGTCGTCGTCGTCGTAATGCCATGGCCGGTGTTCTGCGTGTGTATGCGTGTATGTGTGTTTTATGCTGTTTCATGTTGTCCTTATATTCCCACCCCCCCCCTTTACCTTCTTTGCCAATTTTCTCTCTCTTGTTTGGATACGAGTGAACATTATTATTCTTCCTGAAACCCGAGCAAGAAGACGCGACATTATGCGCGCGATATGTTGTGGTTGTTTTATCCCGACCGGAAATGGTAGCAAAGAACGCGAGGAGAATAAATGAACTTGGATTCAAATGGAGAAAAGAGACTCTATTTTTCCCTTGTTTTTTTTTTTGCAGATAAAAAAAAATGGTGGAATTCCATTCGCAGCTGAGCATTTCGATCAGTTAGCAACACTGCTGAGCTTTTTTATTCGTCACAATAATGCGGGGATTGCAGCATTGGTCGCTATTGTTTTTGCTTTGGATATACAATATAAATATATATATGTGGCACAAAACAACATCGGCACACGTCACCGCAAATAAAATACCACGCAATTGTTGCCAACTTATTGGTAAACTCGTTCTTCTCTCAACACAAAGTAGTGAGAACTAAAAACAATCACCTCGACGTCATTTGGTTATTGACGCTTCGTCTTGAAGATCATCGTTGCTCAGTTTTTGTCCGACCAAAAGACTCAATCAGAAGCCTCATTTTTTTTGACACATTAGTTGTATCCCACCCTTTTTTTCCTTTTTCCAACGCGAATATTTTCGTGGCTTTTCGCTTCCTTGTTCGCAAGGAAATAGAAAAAAGGTTGGCTCCACAAAATTCATTCTTCGGCTTCTGCGACTTCTTCGGGTGACATTCGGCACCCAATCTTTTTTTCTTTTTTTTTTAATTGGCTTTAATGCCGACAAACTCAGCCAGAAGCCTATTTTTCTTCAGTATTTGGATTTTAACAAATTTTGCTGCCATAAAAAAAAACGGTGCCTGTGTACAAAACTTTCCTCCGGCTACTGTGATTTTTCTGCCGGCGAATCTCTATAGGCATGTATTTCTTTCGTATTTTTTTGCTAAAAAAAAGCACATGCTTTTCATGAGAAAAAGAGCTTTACGTAATTCACTATTTTTTGAATATTCTAGATTCGTTTCATTTATGAAAAAAAAAATCCCGAGAGATGGAATTTCATAAGTGATAAACGTGATACAAAGAGACACAATTTTGCAACACGATCTTTTTTGTGGCCACTCTTCTTGGCTTTCTACTTTTTTGAAACACAAAAAGCAGGAAAGTCCTGATAATTTAACTATCTATCTTCACAAATTTTTCAAATTTCCATCTATTTTGAAGACTCGACGACATGCTTGATACTTTTGTGAACAAAATACAGCTGATTCTTCTCAATTTTTGAGTATAAATACTAGCAGCAAGAAGTAGACAAACTCTGATTTTACCGTAATTAAGCTTTGGTTGCAATTTTGATGTACTGAAAAAACGTTCGGTAAAAATTGCGATTACAACTCAATAACACTTTATCGAATCGACCATGGTGAAGATTTCTATGATCAAATTTTATAGAAACCTTAACGAAAATTCCATGGCCATCCATGGGTATTTTATGCGATATTGTAAAACGGTATCGAAGTATTTTTTTAAGCCAAATATTGTATAATAGAAGCGCACTTCATGTCCAATAATAAACACGGATTTCATTTTTGGGATTTTTTTTTGTTGCTCTGAGCGCTTTTCCCTCGGTCATGAAGACTCAGACGAGCTCCATATTTTTCTCCTTTCTGATAGAATGATTTCGACTTATTGCCAAATATACTCAATATTTGCCAAATATGTTCTAGTTTCTCGATTTTACGGTCGGAATCACCAGCCCTTTTCGTCGAACCCTTCACAGGAGTCGGGCACCATGGGCTTCAAGTGACTGCGACTCAGNCCTCTATTTTTCCCTTGTTTTTTTTTTTTTTGCAGATAAAAAAAAAATGGTGGAATTCCATTCGCAGCTGAGCATTTCGATCAGTTAGCAACACTGCTGAGCTTTTTTATTCGTCACAATAATGCGGGGAATGCAGCATTGGTCGCTATTGTTTTTGCTTGGGATATGCAATATAAATATATATATGTGGCACAAAACAACATCGGCACACGTCACCGCAAATAAAATACCACGCAATTGTTGCCAACTTATCGGTAAACTCGTTCTTCTCTCAACACAAGTATAGTGAGAACTAAAAACAATCACCTCGACGTCATTTGGTTATTGACGCTTCGTCTTGAAGATCATCGTTGCTCAGTTTTTGTCCGACCAAAAGACTCAATCAGAAGCCTCATTTTTTTTTGACAAATTAGTTGTATCCCCCTTTTTTTCCTTTTTCCAACGCGAATATTTTCGTGGCTTTTCGCTTCCTTCTTGGCAAGAAAGAAAAGGTTGGCTCCACAAAATTTATTCTTCGGCTTCTGCGACTTCTTCGGGTGACATTTGGCACCCAATCTTTTTTCTTTTCTTTTTTTAAATTGGCTATAAGGCCGACAAATTCAGCCAGAAGCCTATTTTTCTTCCGTATTTGGATTTTTAACAAATTTTGCTGCCATAAAAAAAATGGTGCCTGTACAAAACTTTCCTCTGGCTTCTGTGATTTTTCTGCCGGGGAATCTCTATAGGCATGTATTTCTTTCGTATTTTTTTGCTAAAAAAAAATGCGCATGCTTTTCATGAGAAAAAGAGTTTTACGTTATTCACTATTTTTTGAATATTCTAGATTCGTTTCATTTCATGGAATGGAATTTCATAAGTGATGAACGTGATACAAAAAGACACAATTTTGCAGCACGATCTTTTTTGTGGCCACTCTTCTTGGCTTTCTACTTTTTTGAAACACAAAAAGCAGGAAAGTCCTGATAATTTAACTATCTATCTTCACAAATTTTTCAAATTTCCATCTATTTTGAAGACTCGACGACATGCTTGATACTTTTGTGAACAAAATACAGCTGATTCTTCTCAATTTTTGAGTATAAATACTAGCAGCAAGAAGTAGACAAACTCTGATTTTACCGTAATTAAGCTTTGGTTGCAATTTTGATGTACTGAAAAAACGTTCGGTAAAAATTGCGATTACAACTCAATAACACTTTATCGAATCGACCATGGTGAAGATTTCTATGATCAAATTTTATAGAAACCTTAACGAAAATTCCATGGCCATCCATGGGTATTTTATGCGATATTGTAAAACGGTATCGAAGTATTTTTTTAAGCCAAATATTGTATAATAGAAGCGCACTTCATGTCCAATAATAAACACGGATTTCATTTTTGGGATTTTTTTTTGTTGCTCTGAGCGCTTTTCCCTCGGTCATGAAGACTCAGACGAGCTCCATATTTTTCTCCTTTCTGATAGAATGATTTCGACTTATTGCCAAATATACTCAATATTTGCCAAATATGTTCTAGTTTCTCGATTTTACGGTCGGAATCACCAGCCCTTTTCGTCGAACCCTTCACAGGAGTCGGGCACCATGGGCTTCAAGTGACTGCGACTCAGGCGCCGACACACGGTGCTGTCGTCGTCGTCGCCGCCGCCGCCGCCGCCCACGACGATAGCGCCGAGGTCTGTGTCGCCGCCAGCAAGGCTGCTGCTGTTGGACCGCTTCATCCCGGCCGCCACAATGGCGTCGTTGAGCCTGGCTTTAAGCTCGTCGGCGGAAATCGGACCGTTGGGGTCTTGTTCTTCCGGCGCCCCGGATGACGGGTGTCGGGCTCTGATGCTGGTGGTGTCGGCGTTGCCTCGTGAACCTGATTCCAAACCTGTCATGAATATATCCAAGTACGAGAATGAAAAATAATTGAGCCTTTTAATTGACAGACTTTATTGATGAAAAATGAATTTCTCTGTATATATAGTCTTTTCCTTCTGAGTGCTGACGAAGCAGAAAGAAATTTTTTTTTGGTAAATGAAACAGCAGGTTATTTCCCCTCTTTTTCTTATTTTTCACAACGTACAAATCATACTCCAATGAAGTTAGAGTATTTCTCCTGGATTTGACTAGATGGCACACCTTGAAATTTGGTTGTGCAGCTGTACCTCATACAATGACTCAAATGTGTTCCATATACAGGTGGTGCACCACAATTTGGCACTAATAGTTTGCTGGACTAGGGTCAAATTGCAAAGCAACATCAAATGCAATGTTTTCTACATCATGTTTGACATTTTTGCCCATATCTCTGTGGGTAAAATTGTGAAGCCTAGGTTGACTTGAAATATGACCTCCCTGCAATGACTGTTGTGTCCTAAAGCAACGCAGCTCCAGCATCAGGTTGCAACCGGACCCAAAAGCTTGTTGGATCTCAAGGTCAGTGGCAAAAATCCCGTTTTTGCAAGACTCACTGAGCCTCACTCAAGGACAAGAAGTGGTCATCACTTCTTTGATTCTCCTGTAATGGCTAATCCTCTTCCTGACCCAGTCCAAGCACCTGGCTATAAAAGCCTTCATTCCTCTTTGAGAGGAGAAGTCAGAACCTAGTGTTAGAGGGCCTTTTAACATCTGATGGCTGCACAATTCAATTCCTTTGTCTGGGATCCAATGGATGCATGACAATGACCATCAAATTGTAGGATGGTTGAATTGCAAGAGGTCAAATTGAAAGTGTCACCAAAATCATAAGCTTGCTGAGAGGTTTTTGTGACAATTTTTAAGTCTTGAACTTATTGTTTTTAAAATCTTAAAAAATTGTGGGGAAAATGGAAATACAGTACACCTTAAAATTAAATCAGGGATTCTACCAAGGATTCCTGGCCCTTTCCCTGGGCTGAGTCTGTGTTTTTCTCAAATTAAAAATTGCTTTTGATCCACAGTGAGCAACTCTTCATCCTTATGTTGTGGCAACTGTTGTCCACAACAAAGTCAATTGATGCTCCATGCTACACCCAGGAAAATCAGAAAGAAACAATTTTTATGAATTTAGCAGGCAGGCATTTTGAAACGCCTGTCTGCTACAATCAAGAAAAGTACATCTAAAATTTTGTAAGAATACGGGTAAAAATAGAATGCGTTAAAAATGCATTCCCAACACATTGCACAAAAATATCTCAGTACAAAAATCATGAAAAAAATGAAATGATGAAGGTGTAGCAGAAGAAGCTGGGCATAACAGTTACATGTAAAAAATGTGTGATGTAAGTCATGTAACGCATCACTGTTATACATGCACCCAGCCCTTCCTGTAACAAATTATTTGCTGGGAACTCAGATTGTCCCAAAGAAACACTCTATATCATGCATAGTCATATTATGTGGCTGATTTCAAAATTTGAGCTTGAAATCATTCTCACCATGATTTGAGAGAGTGGCCCAAGGTTGGAGCTCTCCTGACCCGAAGAAAAGGAAGAACCCCGCTCCGAAAAGGTACATGAAGGCTCCAATATAGAACACCACCAGCCATTCTTCCCGGGTGCCCTGCAAATAAAAATAGGGAAAAATCTAATATAAACCGGGGTCACGTAGTTCTTTTTCAGTACAGTACGTATATGAAAAAAAGGTCAACTTCGTTATTGCTCCTCGTGCATCCCGGAATTGACAATCGATTCCGCCTACGGGTTTCATCTTCGTTCCTAGGAATTCTGCATGATGAACGTTATTATGAGTTCGAGGCTGGAAATAGTCGATCCCTGTCAAATTTGCTGGCAATTTTTAGACCTGTGGTGATTGAAGGAAGCTGAACCGTTGCTAGTTTTTTATTTTATTTATTTAAATTTATTGCAAATTTTTTGCTCGAACGATACGATGTGACACTTCTGTGAGTCAAATTCGAAAATGACCGTTCTAAGACTAAAAAAAACACAAGGTTCTCAGGAGAATTTCCGAGACATACGCTTCGGAGAACGAACAAACAAACAGACAAAAAAAATGGAACGAACGTTGGGGGTGAGGAGTGTGGTGAGCTGTGGCGCCAGAAATCCCTGGATGTTGCCAACGGTGTTGGTAATGCCCATCATGGTACCAGCGTAACGAGGTGCCAAGTCCGCGTGGTTCACGAAAAACCCCGCCACGAAACAGACCCCGAGAAGGGACTGAGCAGCTATGGTGAGTGCCACCCCAAAGTACCGCTCAGCACAACCCACGGAACCCAGGGTGAGAAGTGCCAATGCTGGGGCTCCCATCCCTTATTGGAGAGAAAAACAAAAACAGGGTGAACAGAAGAGAAAGAAAAAAAATCAAATCAGCTAGGTCTACCATTAGACAAGCTGGCTTTGCTACTATTTACACTAAAATCTCAAGACAACAAACTGATATGTGTCGCAGGTTGACTAGATGTCGCCCGCAGTGCAGGGTACAGCAAGGTACAAAAAGTACAACGCAGCGTACAAAACGCCACATTGTACAAGAAAATGACTTCTAGAATTAAACAAAAATATATAAAAACAATATTTTGAATAATTCCAAACATAATGAAACCTGAAGATATTGATCTTCAGGAAAACATTCCATTAAGTGAATCATCACTTGATGAAAGGATTTATTAGGAAATTTACAAACAGAAAATTAGTCACAGACCAGTGAAAACCTAGGAGAAGCTTTCCACTAGGGAGGACCTGGACCTGTGAGAAACCATCAGAAGAAGCAATCAATCCTGCTCTGAACTTTGGAGAGATAAGACCTGCATTTTGTGTGTGACATATTTTGGTTGGAAATCTTTGTGGACTTGGACTTGGAATTATAAACTGATGTTGAGGAGTTTGGAATCCTCAGGCCTCAAACGGCTGATTGTGCTCACTGAGTTTATTTCACTATAAAGCAAATCTTTGTTGTGTGGTCTAAGGACCTGCCACAATATGGACTCCAGGAAAAGTTTGTTGTACTGAATAATTTTTTTTACAAAGAAATTTTCAAAATACTGGCTGGAAAAAAATTTTTTTAAACAAGAAACTCTTGGGGACTTCAGAATAAATTGTTATGCTGAAAAATTTTTTATAATTGCCAGCTTTTCAAAATTAATGATTGGAACATTTTCAATTAAAGACCTGCCTACAATAAATTAGATCTTGCTTTTCTGGTATTTTCAGATACATAGAAAGGGGCTTACCGAAAGTATTGCAAACCTTCCTGATGGTTGTGATGCTTAGCTTTCGATTTCGTCTAACCCAGTCAATCGGTCTGCCCATTGTAAGTTGAATCGCTGCTGTACCGATGTATGGCAAGGCCGAAAGCATCCCATTCTTCATTTAAAAAAATAAAAATAAAAAACAGAGGTCTTTAAACTTTCAATCAAAATACCGGAAACGACGTGTATTTTCTCATTTCCTTTGATCAAGGGTTAATCGCTATACAAAGCTATTCATACGAAGTTCTCAATGCAGTATTTTAAAATTAAAATTTTAAAGAGGTCTTTTTCAGTTTAATGAAGCAAATTTTTAAATCTGAGAAGTCCAATTATGTAACAGCGAATTGATTATAAACACGAGGCAAAAAAATGATATTCGTAAAAATCGTAAACTATGAAGATAATTATTTTCTCTCCGAAGCTCTCAATTAAGGTTCTACTTCAGCAGATCCATCATTTCGAAACTTGGTGTTCAAACAACATTTTGAAAGTCTCCTCTTCTCTTCCATGAATCGACAGCAGCTATAATTAAAAAAAAACAAATTACTGAAAGTGAGATTTTAATAGCAGTTTAACGTTTATGAAAAAATTAGAATCCCAAACAACCGATTTATCCGTTGAAGAATAATCATGGCATCCTATCGTCTTGTGATTATAAATTTGAAACATTTTTGCAAAACTCACTTCTCGAACGTCGAATTTCAGCACGTCTCTCATGTAAGTCGGCAGCATAATGGCGAGAACGTAAAATCCCCAGTTGATGCAGAAGTGACACACGCAAATTGCGATGAAAGGTAAAGACGTCAGCAATTTTGCCCACGGGATCTTGTGCTTCTTTTGCGATTCCAAATTCCACAAATATTTTTTTTTTCGAATAAGACGTATATATTATTTAAGATGTGATGGAAATATACTCATGACAAAAACAACACTGAATAAATGTATTTAAAAATCATGGATTTTCTCCTGGAGCCTGACGACGAATATTCGAGATCAAAACTGCAAATTGGACAAAAAAATAGACCGATTTGAAAACGAGGACTTATTCTTAATGTTCGGATTTTGAAAATATGAAAATGTAGCCCATAATTTAATATTTTTATAATTTTCTTGAATAATACATATATTGGTCAGTGAGACCCTGATTTGCGGACACGAAAATTCAGCTTAAGGCACTTGAAAACCAAAATAATCAGTCCCAACATCTGGAAATTGGCTCGAGTTAAGGACACCTAACTCTAAAATTTCTCAGAAAATTGAAATTTTTCAATAAATTTGATATCTTTTGAAGAAATCAAGCCATTTATATTCAAAAAAAAGTTCAGGATTAATTCAGTCTAATTCATAATCAAAAGCCAGCTGATTTTGTGCTTATTTTTTAAGAGTGTTCTTATATCATCTGATGTGCATATTCTAGCAAGACTTAAACTTTTCCTTTGATTTTAAAAATCCTTTTGATACCAAAAGATCAGATTCTACATGGTTTTGTTCTGCACTTATTGAGGACAAATTGTCCAACAATATAATTTAGTATCAAGTGCTTTTGAGATAGAATAAAAACACATTATTCAGTCCGGGACAGGATGGGGATTCCATTTTGGAATTCCTAATTTAAAGGGATAAGATATATTTAAAATAAACACAACTGATTAACAACTCAACAAGTTAGACTTGCAACTTGCAGGAGTAAATGTGAATAAGTTGGGAATAACACAGCTGATTAAAACTTAATCTTAAGAAATGCGCTCCTCATATATGACAGGTATTAATCAACCTTCACAAGGTTTTACTTTACAGTCAGAGGCAAGAATAGTTATTGTCAAATATGCTGTGGTGCCAGGATGTTCCTAATACTGCAATTTTGAGGAGGGGGCAATATCTTTACTTCTAAGAATGTACGTTATTGTACCCAGCGTGCATGCCCAACAGCACTGTTGTTTTCTATAACTCAAAGTTGAGTGAAATAATTGTTATTACATTCCTAATTTTTGACAAAAAGGAGAACCAATTAAATACATTAGCATTGAAGTCTAAGGGAAAATGAGACTTAACTTAGCAACACATCAGGAAACTGTTGATGCATCAATTACGTCCACATCTCGAGGTCTCACTGCTATTTATATGCATTTTTTTCTTCATTTTTGCACCTCGAAATATTCAAGAGATATTGAAATTTGAAAATTGGTCTCCAGTGTTTGGCCCATCTCGAAATTTGCTCGCAGAAAAAGCGACTTTTAACTTTTAAACTCGAAATTTATAATTTTTCTGCTTACATTTGGGGGGGGGGGGAAGGAATTTTTAGTAAGCAGTGAAATGAACCTTATTCCTCTCGATTTATTTTCGAAGTAACACAGACGAATAAAGATTAATTACCTCAGTGTCCCGTTTCTCTTGCGAATGAGGAGCCACTGTCAATAAATATTCCTTTTCTTCCTGCGAAATTCTTGGGTGTTGAGCTGGTGAATCGTACACGAACAAGTAGACGAGGATAGTGCACAAACAACTCCAGATTCCTGAAATATTGGAGAAACGAAAATGTGAAGAATTCAGGTATTAATTTATTTTTATTATTTTTGTTGGACCGCTTTTTTTTTCGTACCTGAAACGTAAAATATCCAAGGCCATCCCGTGGAAGAACTGGAGCAGAAAAAGGAAGCAAACGGGGATGAAAGGGCGTAACCCAATGAGACCCCCGAGTAAGCGAGGCCCATGAGCACGGGTCTTTCGGTGGGTGATGACCAACTGGCTACGAGTTGATGCACACACGGCACAGACATGCCCTGTGGGTGGAAATTTATGCGTGCCATTATTTAATGTATAAGATAACAGGTGGAATTAAGGTTGTGAAGCAAATGATATGAATAATATGCTCCCAACATAATAAAGATTCTTTTCTGGGAGAAATAATTCTTTTAAACTATGATTTATTTGGGATGTCAAAAAGTGGCTGTGGCAGTGAATCAAATATTGCATATATACAGTGGCCCCCACCTAACAGACTTCCCGTGTAAAGGATTTTTGCCAAACAGACCAGCTCTGCATGCAGCCCCCCCCTCACCCTCCTCATTGAAGTTATCAAAGCCTTACAACATCTAGGACTTTTTGTCTAACAGACTCGTCCCTTGCACAAATCAAGTCCATTAGATGGGGGTTGACTGTACTTTGTATAGAGTGACAACAAAATGAAAAAAAATATGTTAAAAATTTAAAACATACTGAAATGATGCCTTGAACAGCCCGAACAGCGACGAGTGCGTGGGGACTCATTCTTGCAGCGCCTGGGACTGCCAAAGTCAGCAAACCCGTGAGTGACGTGCCAAAAAGCATGAGCCATTTGGCACTCACCAGGTCCCCTATCATGCCTCCAATGACCATTGAAGAAATGTAGCCGTAGTAGAAGGATCCAAACAGGGTTCCTTGCATTGGTCTCGTCCATTCGAATTCTCCCTGGAAAATTTTGCAATTTAATTTGCTTGGTAATTCAATGAAAAGAGAACAAATTTCAAGCTACTTTCTTCCAGCAATCTCTGCATTGCAAATGGGGGTTTGTCTGCCGTTTGCTGGTGCAAAACTTTTTAAATATGACCTGACAGCACCACCAAAACCCCCAGAACCCTTACCATACACATACACTGTACGGAAGTGGTACCTTACAATTCAACCTTAATGTGTTGCCAGAGGGTTAAATTGCAAAGCAGTCAAATTGCAAGACACTTCATAAAATTGAGAAATATCAGCACAAAAATGCAAAAAATGTGGCCAAAGCAGGTTGAAATCCAGGGCAGAGGTCAAATTGAAAGTCAATCTCCTTGCAGACTTGTCTGTTGAATTGTGGTATGGCCAAATTGCAAGGTACCACGTGCGTTCTAGTCAATAACCTCAATATTTCCAAATTTTTCTGAATTCTCTTAGAAACAATGCATTAAGAGATTGCTGAATTGAAGGTTCCCACACCCCCTCAAACCTCAATAAATTGAATTTTCTGTAGGCCTTTTGGCTCTGATTTTATTGACACAGGAAAGAGAAATTCAATAAGAAAGTGTCAACACATTTTAAGAGGAAGTGAAAGACTAATCAGACAAACACACCCTTGTCTTCAACTTTAGCATCCTGTCAACACATTCAAAAAGCAACTCAATTGTCAGGAATAAATCCCAACAAATGAAGATTTAAGTTTTAGGAAGTTTTTAGAGTGTCCAAAAAAGAGTTGATTTTGAAAATGAAACACAATGATTTGGTTGGGCTGCAACTGGGGTGAGATCACCCTATTCTGAAGTTGGTATATTTGTAGGAATGATTGATAGTCACTGAGAAAACTTGCAAAATCTTGGAGAAACTGCACACACGAATGCTTGAGTCAAACTGTACTTAATTTTGTGGTTTTGGGAAACAGGAAAGCAGTCCTTCAAGTACAAGAATTAGCAACAGGATTTACAGTGAAATGTAGCCTTGGAGGCTTCCGTAAGCAACGTGAGAACCAAGATCTTCCTAAATTTGTTTCCAAGGATGAGAATTTGGGTTCTCAAACTGACTTGCTAAAAATAGAACTAATAAAAATTTGCGACATCAATGCTTAGAATATCCCCAATTACAACTTCCTACAATTCCTATTTCTTTTCCCCCTATACAAATCTCCTGAACTATAAATCTCCCAAATGCGATTTTTTTGATGGTCCCTTATATTGAAGTTCAACCAAAATAAGACACTACAATATTTGGAAATGTTTTGATGGAGAGGAATATTCCTGAAGAGATCACGCGAAAATTGCTAAGTTTATTGCATGGTCAAGTTTGTGCTTATTATTTTGTTACAGTCGAGCTTCAGAAAATGCCGGAGCTAAATTGTAAGGTACAGTATTTGGTTATACAGTACTTTTTTCACCCCCTGGGTACACAAAAAAGTTTCATTAGCATGAAAAAAGTAGCCCCATATCACCTCGTAGCTCAGCTTCTCAGCGGGGTAATTTTCCGAGCACTGAAACCCCGCGCTGTTCATGTTGTCGGTGTCGCCATTTTCGTCAACGACTAGGAGCGACCTCAAGCCGACAACGCGTCGTTCAGACTCATCTTTAAGCCGCAATCCAAACAAGGGGTCGCTGTCTCCGAAAAGGTTCTCTTTTCCTCGGCCCGGGTTCGTTGTCATCGTTGACGAAGGAATCATGGGTTGCGACTCGGGGACAATGTTTTGGTCTATGGCTTCATAGTCTGGCGTCGACTGTTTGACCATACATACCATGGCGAAGTTGAAATGTGTTCGTAAGAGGAACAAATTCATCATGGTGAGGAGACACACAAGAGCGAGTCCGAAGCGGGAAGAAGGCACTAAACCAACTAAATAGCCAAGAAAAATAAAATAAGAAATTATTTTTTTGTTCATGTGGGGCTTCATAATAAGCTATAAACATATTTAAATGCCTAAATTGAAAAGCTGATGAAAAATAACCGAGTGATCTGTCTCATACTAATGTTACCCGCTGAGTTTTTTTTCAAATTGACTTGCTAGTGAAGTTACAATTTGAATGAACACGAACATAGATTCATGAAAAATGTGGATAACTGAATGTAATGGCCATTTAACAAGATGACTACAGTATAATTCCAATTATCCGGGATTTGATGATCTAATCCTGCAATTCACAACGCAAAATTGAAAGATTATCAAAGGAAATGACAGCGGTGCGTTAAGGGATCATTTTCATCTGCTTCATTTGTCCCAGATTAACTTTGATTTAGAATTGAAATTATTTACTGAAAGAATAAAATTCTTTGAACTGATTTAATAGCTAAGCAACATATACGGAGCAGAATAGAATTATCTGGGCTGTATTTCTCTAGCTTCAGTTTCATAAATATCTGGATCACCTTACAGTACTTTACCTTTAAATTCCAAAATAATCGAATTAAATGCATGGTCTTCAGAATTCTATTTTTACCTGCCTCACGTTTATCTCATCAACTTGACAAGCACTTTAAAAAAATGCGCAAAAAATTTTGGTATGCATACAAAATTTGAGCTGCTGAAATTTGAATAAGTCTTGCATGCCAATAAAAATCTCGTAGGACATTGATTATGAGTAGAATATTGATACAACAAATAATTTTAAAGCAAAGCTTGCTAAAACATATTCTTTATTTAAAAAAACGTTTTGTTCATAATAAATTGTTCTTCGCAAATTTTTGTTCGAGGCTTCTGCTGTATTTCCAATTTTTTTTAAATTTGAATCTCGAACTCTTGATACAGTGTTGCCAGTTTTTTTCTGAAACGAAGGTTTTTCCACGTCTCTGTTATTATAGTGGCTCATTCGTTGTGAGAAATTATAACTGGAAAACACTTTCGTGCGGGTTTTTCGAAAGAAGTTCAATAGTTTAAATAAAAAGTGGAAAATTTTGTAACTTAATTACCAGAGAATTCCGCCTTGATGATCTCATCTTTGGTGAGCGAAGGACGCGGAGTCCAAAACTTTTGGTTCCACTTCATCGTTTGCAGCAAATTTTTGCTTTCCTTTTTTTGTCTTTGAACACTATAGAACCCGCACGGGTTCCTCCTGTGTATCTGTTTTGTTTTTCGGACAGTTCCAGCAGAGGATGGGCTGAATATTTGTTTGATTGATTACATTCTGGAGACTTGGTCGCAGGCAACTGAGACTGACTGAAGGCATTCCGTGATTCCGTCGACGCTTTCCTTGTTACCAGGTCCAGCGGAAAACATTTCTTTTTGTTTTTTTCTTCTTCTTGATTTTGAAAAATTTGTTGATTATACACTTGACGTAATCAGATGTGATTTTTCTTTCCGTTCAACGAATAAATTATATCTGCAAGCGGGATTGAATAATTGATTACAGGCGCGTGAACAACGAATTATCGAATTTGATGCTTCGTCGCGACATTTTGTCAACTGTGTTATTTATTTTGAAGCATGTACTGTAAATAGTTTCGTAATTCATACGAGATCTCATAAATTAAATTTTCTCAGTTTAAGATTTATTTAAAGTCCCGAACTTCCTAAATTTATCGTCTCGCATTTTAAGAATGGCGTTCCAGCTATTCGAATTGGGATATTTTGAATAGTTGGAAATTTAAAGTTCTTCAATAATGTAATGTATCGAAAGAAATTTGGACAATTGTGCTCTTATTTTCAAAGACATTTCGATTTTTGGTTAAATTAGATGCCCTGAATACGATGATCATGAAAAGAACACAAAAGATTGAATCCCTACATGAAATTTTGAGTTTTATGGAAACTAATGATATCCTCACATGATCTAATTTTCCAAAATGCGCAAAAATATGGCTCTCAAACATTTTTAGTGCCTGGATGGTGGCAGGATTTTTTGGATATTTTTAGCAAGGATCTTTTTGCCTTTGCCTTTGCAACAATTTCGGGAGTTTTATGTGACAATACGTTTCTTGAAGTTACCTCTTTCGGGTCAGTAAATTTGGCCTCGCAAAAATTTTCGAGTCACTTCTCATGAATGCAAACATTTGTGAGCGAATTTTTGATGAACAGGGATCACTCTATTATGATCACTCTATATTTCAGTTCT